AGGTATTCTTTGAAAGGCCGCCCCCGTTTTTCTTTGTGGATTTCTAGGAGTAAAGGCCACTTTACTTTTGGAGGCCATCTTGGTCTGGCCACATAGCCTCATGCTGGAGGGATTATTTTGTTCTGCTAGTTTAATAGTACCCACATTTTTAGACACATCTTCACCATCGGGCTCTTGAATGGCAGACTTTTAGTAGAGCTACATAGACCAAAGGATAGGTCCTGCTCCGAGGCTAGGAAGCGAAGTATAGAAGAAAGAGGAAGGAAAATACCCCATAACTGACGTTTGCACCAAGAGGAATCACTTTCCTGGCATTTGAGCAGATGGGCTGTATGTAGCATTCTTTGAGAACCTCCCCACTCTCCTGCAAATAAATTTCTCAGATGCATATATTTAGGAAAACAATTCATCAATGAACACAACAAAACCATCTGGCTCTAGGGACTGTGAAAAAAAAAATCGGAGGTTGTAAAAGTTTACATCGTGATGGAAGGGCGTGTGTCTGGGTTTTATTCCAGGAGTTACTGAGCTCAGCTCTGCTCTGTTTTTTAGGGATTTTTCAACCTGGCTGTACTGATAGAGGAAGGTGCTGTCATCCCTCCCCACATTCTGGAGTTCTTGGAAATTGACCCATCACTTTATCCCAGTAACACCTCCATACTCCGGGAACTGTACGAAAGGTGAGCACTGAGCTCCTCTAATTCCGTGGAGTGAGTGATGCTTTGACCTTAATTCAAGCTAGCGTCACCCCAATGATGTGACATCAAGTGCTAGAGAATGTCTCCAGAATTGCTTCTGTCAGAGAGCCTTTAGCTAAGCCCAAATGCTCTCCCCTTTCCGTTGAGCTTCAGGTTCATCATAGAATGTTCTAGATCTGAAGTTCAAGTGCTGACTAAGACTTTCCATAAGAGTGGAAAAAAAAAATCACACACCCGACTAGCTCACTTTTCTAGAAGATAAGGAAGCCATCCTGCACCTGGACTTTGGATAGACACTCAGGAATACTGGTTGGGTAGATCTTGCGGTCTTCCTTAGGAATGAGGTAGAAGTTAAACGTTTCTGCTAGTATATCCACACACCAGGTCAGGCCCGAAGCACTTAGAATTAATTAACTTCATTCTCTGTCACTACCTTGAGGGAGTTTGGTTATGTGAAAGCAAACAGGTGTGGGTGTGAAGTACTGGTCATGACTGGTATCAGCAAAGCCAGTGACACCACAGGTACCCTGGGCTTTGTTTGCAGGTGCTGGAGTCTCAGTAACGAGGAGTCCCTTAGCCCCTGCTCCCTGGCCTGGCTTTATCTTCATCTGCGGCTTCTCTGGAGTACTGTCCTGCACTCTGCCTTGGTGAGTATCTTCCCCCAGCCCTGCCCCAGGCCCTGCCCTTCCACAGTCATCTGACACATGCTCCAAATGTCTGCAGATCTACTTCCTGGGAACCTTCCTGCTGTCTGTGGCGATCGCCTGGATGGTGCTTCACTTCCAGTGTGTCTCAGGTAAAGCAGGAGGGAAGGGGGGAGGGGCTGCCTTTTCCTCCTCCCAGCAAGTGCCATGCCTTCTCCTCATAATCTTGTTCATGATTCTGTTTCTTTAACATGGTCATGCATAGTGCAAAGGAGTCCTTACAGTGTCTCACAGTCCCCAGCTGTCAGGGAGCCTCAGACTATTACAGTTCTCAAATTAGTTGGGGTTTTGTCTGTCTATCTTTTGAGCTTTAAAAAACAACAACAACAACAACAACAAAGAAACTACATATGCTTGAAAACCTCATTTCAAACCTGGCTGCTGTATACCCACTCATTCCGACATGCAATCGAAGGTGTTAGAGAATAAACTAACACTCATAATGCATAAGCATACCTAGCTAGCCCCAGGTAGACACGGAGGAGCGTCTACTTTGGTTCAAGCTAGCATAAGTAAGTCGTTAATGGAATGAGGACTCTCACCAGTTCTGCTTGGGCTTAAACTCCAGACTTGGCTACTCATTAGCTGGGTGACTTAATCCAAGTTACTCAACCTTTCTGATCTCCCAGTTTCTCATCAATCAACAGAGAGTCTAACATAACTTCCAAGGGATGTAAAATGAGGGGGACATTAAAAAATGCATAAAAGATGCTTATCCTAATGGCAACTGTAGTTAAATGAGAGCAGTTTTACTTAAATGGCACATAAAACCCTCTCAATGAACGTTAGCTATTTTGTTTGTCTCCCTAGGGTTAAAGGATGGCCCAAGTCCTACCATTCATTTTGATATTTTAAATGAGGCAGACACTCAACCCTGCAAATGTCTCTTGGTGGAAAGTGACACATTTCCACCATCTTGAATGGCAACAAGAAAAGGAAATATATCACAGAGACCAACAGAGACACTTACAAATCGGTAAATTAGGGGTGGGCTGGCATCGGAGTGCTCGAATGGCCGTTATTTGTGTAACAGATAATCAAGAGTGAAAGCAGTGAGTCAGCCTCTCTCATAGGCAAATGCAGGGTTGTCTTTTTCTCATTTACCCAAGGAGGTGCAGGCTGTCCTCCGCAGCCCTGCCAGGCTGGAGGCCTCGTCCTCTGCCCCGGAATAAATCTCCCTAGGGCAAATTCTGTCTCTTCTCAGAATTTGTTGCCAGGTAGAGCACATTTATTTTGCATCTTGTCAATGTTTTCCATTTCAAATTATCTTTGTCATTTTTACTCTGTGGAAATACTGTTATGACTATTATGAATGCAGTTCTGTTAGGGCTGCCGAAAATTGACTTGATGGTTTTATGCCAGCTGGTAGCCATGAAAATTCATGGGCGGGTGGGAGCGGTCTCATCAGACACTGGCTTCTCCCTGTCTTCCAGTCTTCATTAGCAGTCCCTCTTTGTCCTTGTCTCCCTGTCCCTCCCGCTCTTTCATATTTCATATATATTGTCCCTTCCCATCTTACCTTGGATCATTTTGTCTCATGTTTTTCCTTCACTTTTCAAACTTTTTCATTTGCTTTTCTATAGTATATCCTCTCTTTTCTTCTTGATAACCACAGTAGATTATGTTGGGAAAAGATCTTAAAAAGAATTTAATTCTACCTGTGGCATGTTACAGATGCGGAAACTGAAGCCAGAGAGGTGAAGTAGCCTGTTTCACTAAGGAAATGAGGCCCAGAGGGATGTACGATGAATCCAAACTTGCTTTCAAAAATCTCAATACTTTAAAATGCTGTAGACTATCTCAAACTAATTGCCCCTTTCACAGTAGGAATGGCTCCTAATTAGTTTTAGCATCTTGAAATAAAATTCATAATTAACCTGCCCACACACATATTTGCCTTAAGAGCACTGTAAAGGATAATTAAAAGAAAATAACTTATTACAAAATAATGTTTCTGTATGTAAATTCTAGCCCATTGCTTCCTAGTTTTACTGGCATACGAATCATGCAGGAATCATACCCAAGTGAGCCTAAATTAGACATTTGTAGCAAGCCTCTGGGCAGTGCCCACACTGCCATTCTGTAAAACAGGCTTGGCCCAGGAGTGGCAGGAGTGAAAAGGAGAGGCTCAATGCTTCCAGAATGTGGCTGTCCACAGCAGTCCCACCAGCCCTGGGAGAGCTCACGCTGAGAGCAGAAGCATCTCTTTCACTCTCGGTGTCTAAAGGCCTTATCCAGAGTGAAAATGTGCCAGACATTTTGAAATAAAATTGGTCACCCAAGGAGAGCCGGGTCACTGAGGGGGTGATGGGCAGGGAATAGGGACACGGAAGAGTTGGCTTCCTGGAAGCCAAAGCTTCTGGTACTGGTATCTCCTTGATGAACTGATGGAGCCCACGTGTCTCTTCCTTGTGCCACAGGAAATGTGGATCCACAGGAGGATCACAGGAGGTGTGGATGACTGGTACTTGTGGCAGATAAGGGCATGAAATGGCCATAGTAATTCACTCTGGGTGCTAGTCAATAGTCAATAAGGAATGCAAGGGCTTGAAAGCCAGGAGCCTCTCCCAAACAGCCTAGGATGAGGAGTGCCACTAGAGTTGGGGTTCTTATTCATTTCAGGTTTTTTTATTTAAAAAAAAAAAATCAATTGATCTGAAATTTTAATGGTTTATCAGCAAGCTGTTTCTATCTGTTGGGTGTTCAGTTCCAGCTAGCCTCATTTTTTTCTCCCAAGTTTATATGATGCTCTGTGATATATATTTAACATGCCATATCCTGTGTCATGTGAAACAGTCCACGGTCAGTGGTGCAGGACAGGAGTTAGCCCCGCTACCAGTGGGGAAGGGAGCTGCTAAGATTGTGGGCTGCTGTTACTTGTGGGACAATGTTCAGCAAGGCAGAAGCTTGCTTGTGCCTCTGTTTGCTCTTCTGTAAACTGAAGGAAAGAGTATTTTGCCTGTGTCTGTCTGCAGCTGAGAGAACCAAATGAGGTGACTTGATGTATATAAGCTGGTAGCTGTCAGAATCCATACTATCCTGTGGGGCATTTTGCCTGCAATTAGAGAATCCTGCCACAAGGAGGCAATCATACTTAACTGTTTTGCCTCTGTACTAGTTAACTGAAACTGGAATGCTTTTGCTATATATGCTGTGGGACTGTTACTTCAAAAACATTTAAACAAAGGTATTAACAAATCCAACCCAAGTAACAAGACAGGAAACAAGTACTGCCACTGAGGAAACTCGTTTATGGTTGCCTGCCTTCCTCAAGGCAACTACATCTTTCAGGAGATCAGGACTTCTCAGGGTAATAAGGTCCCCAGAGTTACCTGACTGCCACGGGTCAGAGAGCAGAACTGCTATTGCTCCAGGCCTAAACAGCTTCTGGGCCACCTTGCTTGGGTACCTTCATCTAACCACAGAACCATTAGCATTTTCCTTGGAGCCTTCCAGGTTCAGATTGCTCGAGGGGAAAGGAGGGGGCATTTTGCTAGAACAATCCACAGACAGTTCAGTCCCTCTCTCAGACTCCAGAAGAGCTTTATTTCACTGCTTTTGAGAGCATTTCCAAAGCACTCTCTTCCCCCTCCCCACCAACCATAATTACGTTAATGGAGCAGCAGCCATTTTGAAACCCAAAAATATCCCAAAGTAAAGTGAGTCCAGAGCCATGTCCACCTGGGCCTCTACAAATATCCTGAAGCCTGGCTGCTTGCCTGAAGGGAGGTGAAAAAAGAATGAAAAGAGAAAACAGAAGTGCTGTTTCAAAGAAAGAGTCCTCCATTTGAAAAATTGATACTTGAAATCTCAGACTCAGAAAGACTCTAAATCCTGAGTTCTTAAACCCTGAAACCTGAGTACTGGCACGAAGCCTCAAAGATGAACGTTCCACAGCTGACTGTGTGTAACAGGTTGCAGTCAGAATTCAGAGGCACTAAAAAGATCACTTAAAACTACCTTTCAATCTATGCATATATAAGGTTTATAAACAAAACAATGAATTTCACATTTTGACTTGAGGCCATAAGATGCCTCATTATGCATATTCTAACCTCAGCCCATGATTTGAACTCTGAAACCCATCTGGTCCCGTTCATTTCCAACCAAAGAAATCCTCTGTCTTCAGCATGACTCTAAACTTAATGTCTGAAGAACACGCAGCAGAAAACACTGTCTGTGGAGCATCCCAGAGATGACTAGGTACTCTAAGCCCGTGCCATCCCGTCCCCACACTGCCCATGTATGCTGACTCAGCCTTTCGGGCTGTGCTTAGCCTAGATTTTTGTTTTGTTTTGTTTTGTTTTCATAACATAAGATCATCTAAGTGAGATTAATTAAACATTTGTCTGCTCTGTTCCTGTCCCCTACATTTCCAGCGAATGAGGTTTCTGTTAAAAGTGCAGTGAAGTACTACACAAAGTGCTCCTGAAGAAAGCTGAGGGTCTTGAGGTCAGAGATTCCACAGCAAAGACTCTTCCCCATCTCTCCTAGCCCTCAACTCTAGGCACCTACCAGCGCCTACCAGTACTTAGAACCAGTCTAGTGACAGGAATCCCATACCTGCCCTGGACTCTGCGGCCTCCTGAGGACTAACTCCTACGTAGTGGGAGATGTCTAATGCCACCTCGTTGCCCCTCGTTCTTACCAGTGGCCTGCCATTTCAAAGCACGCTGTCCTAGTCCTGCTGCAGCCCGCGCCCGATCGACTGGCAGCCAAGTAGAAGCACCGTCTCTAACGGGTCATCATATCGCTCTGTTTTGTTTTCTACACAGTCTCGCATAGCCTTTGCCAGCCTCAAGCTTGCCGTGTAGTAGGGCATGACCTTGAGCTTCTGATCCTCCTGCCTCTCCCTCCCAAGTGCTCAGATTATAGCCCAGCGTCTCTACATCCAGTTTGTGTGCTGCGAAGGATGGAAGAAAGGGCTTCAGACATGTTAGGCAATTGCACTTCCAACCGAGCTGCACCCCAGCAGCACTTTTTCAGTAAGGAATTAGATAATAATTGCTTTGGCTTTTCCACTCTGTCCCTGGAAACCTGAAGCAGCCATTGTGGCTGGGCCTCTAAGAAAACTGTACTGTGGACACATTTGCATTTCAAATGTTTTCACATGTCACAAAATCTTATTCTTGTTTTGATTTTTGTTCTCCCATTTAAAGGTGTAAAAACCATTCTTAGATCATGAGCCAAACAAAAACAGGCAGTGCCTGCCATTGGCCCCAGGTCCTGTGTGTACCAACTCCTGATTGTTCTTGCTAATGTATATAAAATGATCCCCCAGCCAGCAAGTGATCATTCCTCTTTGGCTTTGGAATACACTCTGTAATTTTTTTTTTTTTAAGCAGCACAATGATATTCCTGGTTACCTTGATTCTAGCCCAGCAATGAAATTAGCATGCATTCCAGGTGAGCAGAGACAAAGGGGCCACTTTAAAATTAGGGCATGCGGTAGGGGGGCTCATGCAGTGACTGCAGCCCCTACAAAGATAATAACAAACTTGCTGTGGAAACAGCCGTCCTTCATTGTTGTCCCGTCCAGGGGGATCAGGTGGTGGCGGGCGCTAACTAGGCATTCTTTCTACATTTACACATTAGCACTTTTTGTTTTAATCAGAAAACCAATTGCTGGTTTATCTTGTTACCATGGTGACTTAGACATTCCCTGAGCTTGAAAGTCCATCCCTTAGTGTTATATTAACTTTCATGGAGGTCACTGGGAAGGCAAATCCTATGGCAAAAGGGGCTCCAGACACCAGCTGCTCCAAGCCTTCCATGGAAGAACTGGGGATTCTAACACATTAGAAACATCCACAAGCCGGTATCTCGCCCAGGGATAGATAACAGCAGGTAGAGACAGCACCAGGCCTGGGCCACCTGACCGTGGCACAGTGGTCTTTGGTCCACATCACTTGGTCACCTGTCTCTAAGACTTTAATAGCCCTATTGATATTCCACCATTCTACAGCACCCTGGCCACTTCCCTAGTGTCTGATTCCACATCTCCTGTGGACGGTGGAAGAGGCCCTAAAGGGAAGTCCTGTCCATAGACAGAAAAACCGACCTCCTAAGAGGCTCAGGCCCCATCTTCCTGCAGTGGCCATGGGGGGTGGCCACACACAGACATGGAGCCATTGAAGAGTTGTTTTGTCAGTACAAGGTGGCTTCTTTGTATAGTACATACATTTCAGAACAGCCTTTAAACATGGCTCGGCTCAGCAGCTAAAGATGCTTACTGCCAGTCTTGAAAACCTGTATTTGATCCCTGGACCCATGTGGTGGAAGAGGAGAAATGGCTTCTGCAACCTGACCTCCACATGTGTGCCTGGCACATGCAAACATTTATACACGCGTGTTATAGATAGAGAAGTGCAAAAATGATAAGAAAAATGAAAATCACCCTCCTTTCTACAAAATTCCTAAGGCTGAAATACTACCGAGTTTAATTAAGATCACTGCTCGCTGGTAAACTAGCCGTGTTTGCGCAGACTTTGGCCACTGAGCTAACCATTTATCACACAGCTCTGGGTGTCACTATTCCCATTTTTGTTCTGTTTTGTTTTTTGAGACAAGGTTTCTCTGTGTAGCCCTGGCTGTCCTGGAACTCGCTTTGTAGAACAGGCTGACCTCAAATGTATATCCCCATTTTTATAGATAAAGAAACTGAGGCTCATAGTTAAGAGCTGGCTCAAGGTTACCCAACTGGTAAACATCCGTTCTGTTCAACTCTTGGGCTTGCTGGCTTTGAAGTTGATGCTGTGTTTGTACTGGGGCCTCAAATGGGGATGGCAGGCATCCAGAAAACAAATGTTTCAACTCTTTCATCAGTCCCATAAGCCATGTACCTGAAATGAACAAACCTTAACGCATTTCCCCAGTAACCTGATAACATTTCCCGCATACTTAGGCCTGTCAAATGCTGTTCTAAACATTACAAGCACATTTTTCTCATTTAACCTTTAAAACGATTCACAGAGGCAGTCACATGCATTTTCTCCAATTCTTGGAGGTGGGAGCATGCAGAGAACTTACCCAATGTCGCACAACTGTTAAAGGTCAGAGCCCGCAGTCTTACCTGGAGCACTTCAAGCTTTAATACATAGAGCAGGCTTTGCCAGGTCCAGCATAGATGACCCTTAGAGCTGGTCACTCACCACTATGGGGATGCTCTGGCTCCTGCCGGAGGCTTAACATGGTTTTTGGTTCTACTCACTAGATGCGATCATCCCATCCCCACTCCTGGGGAGGTGTGACAAGTAGAAATGTCACTAGCAGTGCCACTGTCCTTGGGAAGAAACACACACACACACTGCCATTTAAAGTCTACTGACATGGGGACTGGAGAGATGGCTCCATTTTTAAGAGCACTGGCTGCTCTTGCAGAAGATCTGGGTTGCTCACAACTATCTGTAACTACAGTTTCAGGGAATCCATTGCCCTCTTCTGGCACCAGGCACTCAAGTGGTGCACACACTCATATACATAAAATAAAATAAAAAAAGAAAAAAGAAAAAGAAAAGAAAAAAAGATGAAAGAGAAAAGAAAACTACTGACAAAAACTTGATATAAGCTCCTCTAAAAATAGGGTCATTCTCTATAAAAGATATATTTTTTTCATTCATTTTGTGCAATTATTTAAATAAAATAACTTGGGCTGAATTTGACACAGCATTTAAACGACATAAGAATGTAAATGAAACCAGGCCTGCTCTGATTGTTCGGCATTATTTATGGTTTGTATTCTATCGACACCATGGCTGGAATGTGGGACACAGACCACAGCTCATGAAACTGATTATAGCAACTTTTTTGCCAGGAAATCCTTGCAGGCTGGCAGTGATTTAGAACCCCAGGCCATGAGAACCGCCAGAGATCACATTACACATCGATTTCAGCCTGGTGTTTTAGAGAAGGGGACACCAAAGTTCAAAGAGCCTAGATAATGAGTCCAAGGTTGTCTGTCTACCTAGAGTTGGGGCCACCAGCCAAGGAGTACCCCTCCTGCTTGCTGGGTCCTGGGTGAGGTTGGGAATCCTGCCTCTCAAATGTTCAACTCTGTTTCTATGTGTCTCTGCAGCCACTGCCTCCTCTCCAGCACCAGCCTGGGTCTTGGCAGACTCCACCTCATCTACCCCAAGTCCAGCTGTGCCTCCAGCTCCAGATGCCTCTGACCATGCCCCATCTGTGATGGCTAACAACCCTGAGCCTTGTGGGTGAACTGAGCAATCCAGGCCTCTCCAGAGACTGTCCTTTCAATGGCTGGTTTGGGAAGTCTGGGGCGAGCAGTTATACTGATAAATACTTTAAAAGTTTTGCGAACTGGATGCCAGTTTTGCACTTGGTGGTCTTTTTGTTTATGTTTAAGTAAGGATGTACCCAGAGCAGACTACAGTTATTAAACAAATTCAAGGATCACCTTGAAAACAGGGGCATACGGGGAGGTGAGCTGAGGCATCGGATTGTCATTCCCGGTGATTGTTCTGGGATCCACCATCTGTCTTGTGGAGCATCCATATTCCCATCCATGGAGATGCATTTTCAAAAGTCTTAATCTTTATTCATCCTCTTTTACCAGAGAACAGGAACCCCTCTCTAAGGCTGATGCTGCTTCAGTGCCTCTGTTTGCCACATCCTGCTTCCTGAAAGCCCATCTGACAGATTGCTCTCTGCATCCCAAACCCAGCAGCTAGAAGGCGCCTTGAAACAAACAAAACAGCATAGACAAGGAAGGCAATAACTTTGTACATTGGTTTACACTTCCCACGCCCACCCTGTGGGTTTTCCTAGAGTCGTAGTGCTTCCAAATCATTTGATGACATTATTGGATATCGTTTATGTTCCCATCACAATCCATGCAATAACATCTAGAAAATCTTTAGTATTTAAGTGTAGTCTTCTTTCCCATGAATCACTGTTAGAATAGACTGGCAGCAGCAATGGAATATGAAGGAGAAAACAAGCTGTTAGCTCATAGGTTCATGACCACTCTTTATGCCTGCCTGTGTCTGTATAGGTGTGTGTGTGTGTGTGTGTGTGTGTGTGTGTGTGTGTGTGTAGGAGGGCAAGGAAGAACAGAGTGTCTGTGTACTGTATGCTGCTACATTAGTAAATAAATCAGTAATGCAATACTGTGGGTTCTAACTACTCTTTGCACTACTTTACTTACAGTAGTAAATAAAATTATTTTTCTACAGTTGACTACTAGGAAGTGGCTTCTTTTCTTTTTCGTGGTCATTATGCAAAGTGTTAAGGTCCAGGTGTTCTCCTTAGGAGCCTCCCTGCCTCCAACAAACAAAACAACCCCCTACAGAAAAGGGATTGTCCTGCTCTCCACTGACAAGTGCGGATGTGCAGGCGGCAGGAAGCGTCCTTCCGCGAGTCCTAAGCCTCCGCTGCCACATTTGTCCAGCCTCACGCTCTGTTAGGTCTTCAGCCCTGAAATAAGTCTTTCCTTGAATTTTAGGTTAACCCTCATGTTCACCCTCTTCCTCCCAGATCTGTTGCTCTCATTTGAGCAAAAATTATCTGAGCCATTTGCAAAAGGGGTCTAGTACTATCGGTCCAGTCACTTATTCAGTAATGCTGGGATTAACCCTCCTTGAGCTTCATCTTCTTGTGCTATAAAATAGGATGAAAGAAGTCCACCTCTCCGGCACCTCACAAGGCTTAAGTGAGATTGTGTGTGTGTGTGTGTGTGTGTAGCCCACAAAAAAGTGCCATGAGTGCTGGTTGCTAGTGTTTTTAAAATAAGAAATATGAGGAGCCATGCAAGACACTCGGCTCTGCTTGGAGGCTCTGTTGGGGGCAAACGCACTCATTCCCTATGTGCTGGGACCTTATGCTACTGACAACTCACAGCTACACCGTTCAGCGGGCCACACCTTTGCAAGATTTCCCTACGTCCAGTTGTTCATGGACATAGGAGCGGTTTCTCTCAACCTCGTCTTCATTAGCTACCTTTCTGTTACTGTGATAGAACACCAGTATCAAAAGCAACTTATGGAAGAAAGAGTTTATTTTAGCTTTCGGTTCCAGGGGATAAGAGTATATCATGGAAAAAAGGTAAGGCAGTAAGTGATAGGTATGGAGGCTGGGAGATCACATCTTCAATGTAAACACAGAGAGAGTGGACCAGAAATGGGATGAGGCTATGGATTCTCAGGCCCCCCAACCCCCGCAGTGACATACTGTATCCTTCAGCAATGCCATACCACCTCGCCAAACAGCACTACCAACTGAAGACGTAAGTATTCAAATACCTGAGCCTATGAACCACACTGTTGCTGGTGTTTGGGCTGGATGGTTCTTTGTTGTATGGGGTTCCAGAATCCACAACGGTAGGGCAGGCATGGTAGCAGGTAGCAGAACAGGAAGCCAAGAGATCGCCTCTCCATCCATACACAGGAAACACAGAGAGCAAATTGGGAAGCGGGTCAAGGTTAGAATGCCTCAGAAACGACCCCAAATGACATACTTCCTCCGGGAAGGCACCACCTTCTAAAGGTTCCATAACCTTCCCAAACAGCATCACCAACTGGGGATGCAGGAGCTGTGGAGCACATTCCTTATTCAAACTGCCACACGTGATTGACTGACAGGCATCTGCATGTGTCCTGGGGAGACATGGGGGGGGTGGTAAGATAAAGGCGTTGGCTTCCTGCACTGTAGCAGCAGCTGTGTCCATAGGAATCTGTAAGCACCAATGAAGCTGGAAGCAGTCAGTGAGGGGGAATCTGCTGAGAATGGCCAGAGCAAGGTAGTACATTGCCTGACAGGAGGTGCTGACAGGCTTCCCTAGTGGCTGGACAGTATCTCTACTACATCTCTCAGGGCCCAGCATCATACCGACTTGCAGAGGAATGGGAGGTTTGGTGGCACATTCTGAGAGTGATGGCATTTGACTTTAAGAGACGAAGCATTTCCCAAAGGAACCTGTTGGTTCATTACATTGCACTAAATAGCATTTCCATCTTATGCCACCACCTGCCATCATTGATGCCCATAGAGTGCACACTCAAACGGAAAACTTGATTGTAGACAAGAAAAAAATAGCCAGGTGTGGTGGCACACGCCTGTAACCCCAGACTCAGGGAGGAAAAAGCAGGTGGATTGCTGTGAGTTCAAGGCCAGCCTGGTCTACAAAGCGGGTCCAGGACAGCCAAGGCTACCCAGAGAAACCCTGTCTCAAAAACAAACAAACAAACAAACAAAAAAATAAACCATAGAGATTTCAATATTTCAATATACATCTCAGTGTCATATAAATACATTTCAACCTCACTATCATGACACTACAACAGATGTCTCAAGGTATTAAGCAGTGAGTGTGGCCACCAAATGCAAATTTGTTACAGAGGAGGGCTGAGCCTTGGCAGGTGGGCAGGACTCTGACGAGGTAGATGGAAGGAGATGTCACCTGGGGAGAATTCCTGGCCACAGGCCTGGAGGTGGGACTCTGCACCCAGTACTGCAGGGACAGTGGAAGGTGGGGACGGGGAGGACATGGGGAGGACAGAGTCAAGCTCCTATTGATGAGGAGGCCAGCAGTGTTCCAGGTGGTCAGGATGGCCCAGAAACTCAGCCATGCATGAGCTCCGCAGACAGGTTCTCCTCAGGCTGGACTTGCCTTCTGGAGACTGCAGATAGAAGCTAGGGAGTTGTGGCCATCCAAGGTTAGCTGCTCCCCTTCACGGTCCGGGAAGCTGAAAGTGGCCCTCGTGACATCTCTCAGAGTGACAATCAGCTTCCAAGAGTCACTTAGAGAAAGTAGGATTGTGCTTGAGGAGCGGGTCTGGGGCACAGAAGCCCCAAAGGTTGCGCCCCTCCCGGGAAACAGCATAAAGAAACCAGCTGACTCCGCCAAGACACCTCTTATTTTATGCTTTCTCTTCACTCTACAAAGATGCTTCAGATTGATTTTCCAGAACTGTCAGGCTCACATTCCACATCACCTCTTGTGACCGAGCCACTGAACCAGGCAGAACGTCTTGCTGGGAGAGCATAGATGAGAACAGTGTCAGTCAGTGCAGGCTGGGCTTCTGCTAAATAGCCCCTTTCTGAAATCAAACAAACCAATCTCTCCTTCCTTCTCCCTCCCTCTCTCTCTGTGTCTCTCTTCCTCTCCCTCTAATACACACACCTCTCCACCCCTGTCAGGGGACACACCCAAGCCTACTTACCTGCACTCGATGAATCAGTGTGCTTTTAAAGTGAAGAGGGCATGTGAAACCCGTGTCCACAGCTGCCCTCTGCACTGTTCCAAAGGAGACATGCATGACTCCCACCCTCAAGGGAAACACATGAAGGAGGTGGAGGAGTGTCTGCCTTGATGAGTTTCCAGCTCCGTGGAACCATAAATTCCCGTTGCTCAAGCCACCCAGTGACATTTTGATTTTGCCGGCTTTGTAAACAAATACAAAGATCCATGAGTGTAAGAAAAAAAAATGTCCCTATGAGGACTTAGGAGATGTCTGCCTGGATCCTGGAAAAGCCTTACGAGAATTTCAGCACCCCCACCCCCTTACCCATCACACAAACCAGGGGCCAAGCACCCAGGCCACCTCCTGATCTCACTCTTCAAACCCAAGCAATCCTCAGGTCCGCTACTGTCACTACTGTCACTTCCCTTCCCATTCCAGATGCTCCGAGTGCAGCCATTTCCTCTCCACCGGGAGTCAGAGAAGCAGGTCCTGCTTGAATGCTCCCTCTGACAAGCTGCTGCTTCCCACGGCACTGTGCATGGTTAACATTAACTGTCAAGCGGCCTCCATCTAGAATCACCTAACCTCTGTGCATAGCAGAGGGAGTTTTTAGATCCATTTCGTGGGGGTGGGAAGATCAACCCCACATGCGAGCAACACCCCCCTCCCCGGGCTGCGGTTCTGGATGGAGTTGACTGGGGAAAGTGAGTGGAACTCCGGCCTGTCTCTCACTCTGCTTCCTGTCCGCAGGCGCCATGTGGCCCACTGCCTCAGGTTCCTGCAGCCACGCCTTCCTCTCCGTGATGGACTGTGTCCCTCGTACTGGAAGAGAAAATAAAGCCGTCTTCCTCAGCTTGCTTTTTGTCACACCTTTTAGCAGGGTCCCCAGTGACACCCAGTGCATCAGGAGACCCTGTGAAGCCCCACATCAATATTAGCTGTGCATAGACTTGGATCATCAAGGGGACAACGATGTCCTGTGCAAAATCTCTTGACCCCTGCCTATGACTGGAATCCAGATACTCTCAAGTGGCTCGACAGATCTGAGGACCACCCAAAGTAGAGGTGGGGTAGGCACTGGAGCTCTGGAGCCCAGACCCAGCCATAAGCCCTAAATGCTGAAG